CACGAGTATAAACAACTTTCCACTAAGATTTAAAATACAAAATATGTTTTTGGAAATTCAAAAAAAAAGAGAACACAACATAATATACTTAACAACCTTACCATAAGCACCATAACAAGATGATGTAGTTGGAAGGTGTAATAGAAATTTAAATGATATTTGCTAGGTCTATGATTGGTCATGCCAAACTCGTCTTAAATTTTTTGGGGAAGAAGCCATTTCTATAATTTTGTTCATCTTGAACATAGTAACAACTGAGGTCATAAAATTACGATAAAAATTTGGAGATCAGCACATGTTCTCTCTCAAATCAACAAAAAGCCAAAAAAAAAAAAACTCCATCAAGCTCAGTGTTCATTTAGAAGGTATTCTAATAATTCTAAGATACATGAGTTCTATGATATAAACAGTATGGGTTTGATTGAGGAGATATAATCACTTGTTAGAGAACATACACAATACACAATGAGAAACAATACACAATGAGAAAAGACAAAATAAAGAGGTTAGCATATCTTAGTAGTATGTGTTTGTTGAGTTTATGTGGCCTTTAAAGGCTTTATGAGTGCTTGTAAAATGAAATGATATAGTGGAACATGAACTCAGTGGGAGTGTGGCCCCTCGTAGATTATACTAAGCAAATGATGGTTTGCTGATACCGATCTGTATTTAACGATCTAGGCCAGTCGGTTGGAAAAAACCCATCTTACTTAGGCATGAAGAACAAACCGATGAGGGTTTATGGGTTATACCTTGATGAGATCAGTGAACATGCCCGGATGAGTGAGCCGAGGGATTGTGTGATTGTGTGTGATGATGGCCTATAGGGACAGAGGCCAAAACCTCATCTATGTACTATCACACGACATGCATATCGATAAATCGCTCGAGAAAGTCAGAAATCCACCTTTTAGGGTGAAACGTATGCATTTGCGAGAGATACCCCCATGCGCTACGTATGTGCGAGAGATACCCCTATGCGCTATAGAGCTGCGGTCGCATAAGGTCTTAGTGACATGGACTTGTCTCTTGGGAAGGACCTATAATCCATAGACTAGGATTGCTGGCTCATCCGCCAGACTTTGGTGACCTGCTAATGAGCCTCTGCTTGGACTGTGGGTCATGAGAAACACTGGGTCGATTCAATAAGGCAAGTGTAGTCTGTAGTCTACAGTTGAAGGTGGAGTGCCCCTTGATTGTAGATTAAATTCTTTAACCATATGGATCCATTTCCCCATCAAGTTAATTTAATTATAAATTATTTTAGAATTATTATTTGAATTTTTATGAGTCATTTGATATTTTATTTGGACTTATAAAAATGAAGATATTGTTTTTATAAAATTATAAAATTCAAATGATGTTTTAGAATTATTATTTTTTTGATAATTTAAAATTATATAAAATATCATGGAGGGGCTCATAGTGCACATGGGCCCACCATGTGTCAAGTGGTGGGGCCCACATGTGCCACACATGGGTGGCACGCCCCACCCATTGGATTCTTTCGTGGAGTTTAAGTTATTTCATGTTTTGGTAATATTATGTTATGGCATGTGGTCAAATAAGATATGAAATATTTTGACCATATATTGACTAAATATTGAAAGTATATATTGACTTGATATATATTTGGAATATTTTGTGAAAGATTATGGAATGCATAATATTTTATGTAACAATCCTAAAATTTCAAAAAAAAAAAAAAAAAAAAAAAGAAAGAAGAAAAAGAAGAAGAAAAGAAACTTTTAATACGTGATGATTCATTTGAACGTGATGGTCCTTAGGGACCATCGCTACTTTTAAAAGCTTTTGGTTTAAAAGCTTTTTTGCTTCCTTGCTCTTGCCACGTCCATTAAAGGACGTGGGCTTTAAGTTAACGCTCACACCTGTAACGTGATAAAAGAATAAAAGAATATGTTATTAGAATTTAAATTCGAAGAAGTGAGGACTCCTACCCTAGAAAACTTTTGAGATCTTTCTCTCTCTGGTCGAAACACAGTGAACTCCTCTTTTTAGCCGAATATTTATCGAAACCTCCGTCTCAAATATTTTATGAGTAAGTGATCGCAGTCTTCTGAAAAATAGTCAGTTTTCAATAAAATAGTGATATTTATATCCAACATCTTTATTTTATTAGTTTTATGTGTAAGTGACATCATCTTCCTGAAAAATAGTATGTTTTTAATAAATAGTGATATTTCTGTCCAAGATCTTTATTTTATAAGTTTTGTGTGTAAGTGACCTCATTGTTTTGAAAAATAATATTTTTAGTAAAATTGTAATATTTTATCTATTGTTAGGTATTTTAAATGTTGTAACTTCTTAGAAATAAATTTAATTTTCCTGTCTATTGTTCAGAATTTTAAATACTGTAAATTATTAGAAATAAATGTGATATTTCCCCTTTTAGTATAATTATGAGATTTCCTTCTACTGTTTTTGAATATTTAGACATTATAAAATTCATATGCAAATGTCTGCCTTATTATTTGAAAGACTGATATTTTTGCACTTGATTGTAGTATTGCCTATGAAATGATTATTTACAAATTGGCAATTTCATAAATTGTGATAATTTCGTAGTTAATTTTGGATTCTCATAAAAGTTCGTCTATTGATACTAGACTGTTATCATGACAGATTTCAAGAATGTCCTTCAAAACTGTTACCTTTCAGAAATTATTGTATAAAATGTTTAAATGGCTACTTAGAGATGTATATATATATTTTGACTGTTACATCTCAGGAATATCAGTATTGTAAATTCTTGGGGTGTGACAATTATGGTATCAGAGCAATAGGTTTAAGATTCTTAGGAAATTTAAAAATCTTTTTCACAAATCAAGTACACAAATTTAGAGGACTAAATTTCTTTAAGGGGGAAAGAATGTAACAATCCTAAAATTTCAAAAAAAAAAAAAAAAAAGAAGAAGAAAAAAAAAAAAGAAACTTTTAATACATGATGATTCGTTTGAACATGATGGTCCTTAGGGACCATCGCTACTTTTAAAAGCTTTCGGTTTAAAAGCTTTTTTTGCTTCCTTGCTCTTGCCACGTCCATTAAAGGACGTGGGCTTTAAGTTAACTCTCACACATGTAATAAAAGAATAAAAGAATAAAAGAATAAAAGAATATGTTATTAGAATTAAAATTCGGAGAGGTGAGAATTCCTACTCTAGAAAACTTTTGAGATCTTTATCTCTCTAGTCGAAACACAGTGAGCTCTTCTCTCTAGCCGAATTTTTATCGGATGCTCCCTCTCAAATATTTTATGTGTAAGTGATTGCATTCTTCTGAAAAATAGTCAGTTTTCAATAAAATAGTGATATTTCTATCCAACATCTTTATTTTATTAGTTTTATGTGTAAGTGACATCATCTTCCTGAAAAATAATCCGTTCTTTTTAAAAATGAAATGAAATAATTATTTTTGCTTATTATCATAAATTTTAGGCGCAATAAATTTTATGCGTAAGTGACCTCATTGTCTCGAAAAATAATCCATTTTTTTTTAAATGAAATGAAATAATTATTTCTGCTTATTATCATGAATTTTAGGCGCGATAAATTTTATGCGCACGCGACTTCATTATTTTTAAAAAATAATATTTTGAATAAAATTGTGATATTTTATCTATGTTAGAATTTTAAATACTGTAAATTCTTAGAAATAAATTTATTTATTTTTCTTGTCTATTGTTAGAAAATTTTAGATACTGTAAAATTATTAGAAATAAATATGATATTTCCACTTTTAGTTTAATTATGAGATTTCCTTCTACTGTTTTTGAATATTTAGACATTGTAAAATTCATATGCAAATGTCTGCCTCATTTTTTGAAAAACTGATATTTTTACACTTGATTGTAGTATTGCCTATGAAATGATTATTTACAAATTGGCAATTCCATAAATTGTGATAATTCCGTAGTTAATTTTGGATTCTCATAAAAGTTCGTTTATTGATACTTGACTGTTATCAAAATAGATTTCAAGAATGTCCTTCAAAACTGTTACCTTTCATAAATTATTGTACAAAATGTTTAATTGGCTACTTAGAGATGAATATATATGTTTTGACTGTCACATCTCAAGAATATCAGTATTGTAAATTCTTGGGGTGTGACATTTTAATTAGATTTAATTTATCTAATTTCTATTGACAGGAAAATGGTTAAGAAAAAGAAGATAATGGTTCATACACCGTCCATAATGTTAATGGCCTATCTATAGAATGGATGACTCAGATCTCTCACCCCACAAGTCACCCTTGATCGATGGTCTATGTTCAATATCACATGAAGAGGCACGCCAAGAAAAACCCTAAGAAACCCTAATCTTGTTCAAACCTATAAAAAATGGATTGTCTATACCCAAATCTATACACCTTATCTTTCTATCTCTCTCTTAAAAAAGTTTATATATCTCATGTTTGATCTCTCTCCCACATTGTGAAAGAACCTAAGGGTTTGGGTTATGAAATTCTTATCTCTCCTATCTTTCAAATATGGATTTATGGCTAAGGGTTTTAGGGTTTAGCAAAAAAGGAATCCACCGCTACGAGAATTCACCTAGGGTTTGAGTTTGTGATCAAAGGGGTTCATGTTCCATTGGTGTGGCTTAGCCGAAATTTGTTTTTCTGGTTCGATATTGAAGCTAGACCATTGATCCCGCGCCATCGAATGGTGGTGATTCGGTGTGGGGTGTAATAAGCCCGGTTGAGGTAATCTCCGGCACTCTTCCTTTTGTTTCTTGCAATCTTATCTTTTATTCTCAAGTATAATGCATAGTTGTTTCAATAATATCAAATTGTTAAGATCTTGGTTTTATTGATATGTTCATTTTATCTTGAAATTTATCTTATTATAATAAAGACCACATATAAGTGATCTTTTGCCAAAAGAAAGGGATGAAAAAAATATATATATATTCGCCGATAAAAGATCACATAGGTATTTCTTTCATTGTTAACCTAAAATTACATGTAGGATCATTCAGACTAACAATATAGAGACTAGAGAGCCATACCTCTCATATGAGAGAGATCCTTTTGTTACACACATAAATAACAAAAAAAAAACCAAGAGAGATTATTTTATTACAAACATAAATAATACAAAAAGCCCATGAAAATGTGATCCCTTGGCTCCCGTCCTACTTATATAACTTTAACAAGATTAACATACTCCTTATCAGATGGGATTATATATTATGAGATCATTTATTTTTTATACAAGATGGCCACAATCACTTTTAGCCATTGGATGTAAACTCCAATAGATAAAAGTATGTCACAACATTCAAAAAATTTTAATTTGAACTTTGTGCTCAAATAATGACACACCATCAACTATCCGATTTCAAATCCGATTATCAGTGATGTTTATGACCTCCTTATGTCAAAATAAACGATTTCATTGTATACTCTATTATTGTAATCAAATTCAACCCCCGACTCTTTAATGAGTGTCCTATTTTTTAACTTTAAAAAAAATAAAAAAACCCTCTTCTATGAGTTTTTTAACCGCAATACATAGTTGAGGCGTTGATCAACAAGTGGTGCAACTCATTGGGGGCAGAGAAAAATGGGCTATGGTCGGTGTCAATGAACATGACCTCATCGGGTGGCCAGCTTTTAATCATCATTTCTTGATGCACATCTGGCCTCATAATCTCATCTTTGTTCATCTTTATATACACACGCTTCACCAAATCAACATCCCCCATATTTGCCCCTTCAAACTTTGCACTGAATAGTGGCATCAATGGCGCTGGCCTCAAGAGCATCGAAGCTAAGGTAGAGTCCTGTGGATTCCACACAAAATTATTGCCATGAATTTGTTTTTTGTTTTGTTTTTGGGGTGGCGTAATTTAGAGGGGCAAGACATGCCCCTATTCATTTTTTCATATAGATTAGGAAGTTAGTTTTTATTTAACGTATCACTATGTGATATCAGTATATGGTATCAACAAGATTGAAAACCACAACGTGATAGCTAGATGTGGGGGTGCTACTTCTACGACCCAACCCTATTCATGATTATTGCCATGAAGATGGTTTAGTGATAGGCCATAGACACATAAATAGTAGGAATAATGAGAGAGTATAGTGAATTCACAAGATAGCAAGTTGTACTATATTTACTCTCTGGAGCAACAAAACTAGTATTTTTCTTAAATGAGAATTTGAAAACTACCAAAAATCACTAGACTACTATTTTTAAAAAGAAAAAATTTATATAGAGTTGAGGCTCTAAACAATCAAATTAGAGCCCACCTCAAAAATTTCACTAGAAGAGGCTATTTTGATGCCCACATATCCTCAAATTGATCATCTCGACATCAAGATGCATGAATATGAGAAAAATATGGATTTTAAGTTTTGAAAATAATGCATATTGTGATGCATTTTTGGACCGTCAATTTTTAAGATTTTCAAGTTTTCATAGATCTTTTTAATTTACACTATTTTTTAATTTTTCATTTTATAATTAGATATGAAAATTAATTTTAAGACCATCACAACAATTTCTAGTATTGAAACCACATTGTTCAACACTATTTGAAGATAAGCTCTACTATGATTGTTTAGAGCCTTGGCTCTATACAAACCGCACCTTTTTTAAAAAGGAGAAATGAAATTTAAGTTCGTGGATACCATTCAAGAATTAGGCAGTCTATGTTCCATCCTAGGATGCTATAAGTATCTATGAAATTTTTTTTTTTAGTCACTATTATGAAAAGATTACAATATTTTGAAATGGTTTGGTATTGCGTCCACAACATGTGGACGCTTAAAAGGTGCATCGGCACTTTATAATGGATCATATTGAACCATGCTCATCCAAGGGCCAATGATGAATTTCGTATTTCTTATTTAAAAATAATATTAATGTGAAATTTTAGTTTTAGGTTCATTTTTATAAGTAAGATTGAATAAAATTAATAAAAAATATTTTTGAAAAAATATTGAACAAAAAATTGAGATATTTTGGTATTTTTATTTAAAATATTTTATAAATATTTTTATTTAGTTATATTTATAAAAAGTACATGGTTTCTATGCATCCAGCCCACAAATTGTAGAAAAGTAGGCTTGGCAATAAATATATATTTTTAATATAATTTGATCCTAATTTTTAAAGAATATATAATCTTTAACATGGAGATCATGAATATGAAAAACAAAAATAAATTGAAAACTAAAAATAATAATCATATTAAGAAAATATTTGGATCTTAAGTTACAATTGTTTGTAGATGGACCACCTATTTGCATCCATCTTTACGATGAATGTTTTGTACCTCGGATTGCATATTCTAGAAATGCGGTCTAGCCCGCAAGAAACAATTGTCCTTATAAAAATACCTTACACACCAAAATTTAGATAAGTTTCTTATTTAAATAAAAATAAAAAATAAAATACAAGACTAAGTTTCAGCCATTAGATATGGCCATATGAGATCTCAACCATTGGATGGGTGCTTGTGCAACCTTCTTCTATCCACATATACTTTTCCTTTTGAAAATACTATTTTACTTGAATGAGCAAATGCATGATATTTCCCCGTGAGTGCATGCAATTTTTCTTTTTTGGGTAATTTAGTGGGACGAGCCCCTACCCGTTTTCTAACTCGTTAGTGGTTTTTGACGGCGTTAAGTGATAATGGAAGCCTAGACTTTAGCTTAGGCACAAATAGTACTTCCACCACGACCCCAATCCCATTCTTGAGTGCACAGAATCTTTTAGTAGTATGATTTATCATTGGATGCAGTTTTCTAACCTATAACTCATAAATGGTGACATGGGTTTTCCGAAATTGCAAGCCTCCAAATGGTGAATTTAAAAAGATGTATTGTAAACTTGCGAGAATTGCCTTTATCCATGCCTTGTGAAACATTTTTGGGATCGTATAGAATGAGACTATTTACCTTTAGTATAAGGATATCAAAATTATTTGCAACTAGTTGATGTGAAATCTAATAGCTTGAGTGTGTCACAAAGTTCAACAAGTTTTATGTTGAACTTTGAGTTTGGTCAATTAAATAAATGCAGCTACCCAATTTCACATCCAATAGTCAAGATTAATTACGACCACCTTGTACCAAATATAAATGATCTCATTGTATACCTTTTCAACATTTTTAGGTTCGTCATTCCAATATAATTTAAAAGGTAATCAAGAACATATGGTGTGCTCCGACCAGAGTATCCTTTATAACACCCCCCTAGGGCCGAAAACTGTTTAGGAGATTGTCTTTTTTATTCCAATACTTTGGGAGCCATCCAAATAACATTAAATGATTATTTTCAAAAAAAAAAACTTGGATGTTGAGTTCTTGGACACCTCGATCATGCCCTTTATTAATTAGAGGGATGTCATTGCTTTTGTGGCACATAGGGAGTGCAATTCAAAATGTTTTTCATTGAGATTGGTTACAGGTTCTTGAGATTACATCCCAAAATATGGAGCAAATGCACAATATATGTTCTTGAGGGAGCAACAAATCTTTTTGCTAATCTTAGAACATACCATATAAAGGCAAGAGTAGATTCAAAAGGTGTGGCAAGAAATATACTTCTGATTTTCTATAAATCCAAATGGACATTCGTTTTCGTGTATATGATAAAAGCAATATTTTTAGGAATTGTTTATAAAGAGACCATTTACTTTTTGTACAAAGAGATCACAATCATTTTTGTTCTTTAGATTTCAAAATGGGTGGTTGTAAGAGTGTAATTGGCTAGACACAAAGTTCCAAAAAAAAATTCTCGGACTTCGCGACTCACCCCAAGCCATCCAATTTGATATATAATGAGTAGGAATAGTCATGACCTCTTTATACAAAAAATAATTGGTCTCTTTGTAAACAATCCTATATTTTTAATACCCACTAATCTGGATTGGGAATCAATGATTTAGATCAAGATTTGATCGCATCTGAACCGGTTCGAGGAACGTATCCCTCCTCCCTCTAAAAAAAAAGAAGAAAGAAAAAACTCTGTCCCCCGCACCCCCACCTCCCAAAAAACAAAAAAATATCCCTCATAAAGCATTAATTTTTTTTGTTTTTTTTTTAATGTTGTAGTTTTTCAATCATCAATTTGGACCGATCTAATAATTCGACACATATGTGTGGGGTGGACAATACACCACCAATCCGCATTTTGAAACACCGTGATAAAGTATTCCATAGTAGCGACATGGGGAGGATAGTATATCTCCTAACCCTAGTTTTCCAAAGAGAAATACATGAATAAAATATACAAAATAAGCATGATTATCAATTATTAAATAAGTCATAATTTCAACTTGAGACGGTAAAATAAGAAAATAATTTTGATTGTAGAGCATTACCTCATGTGGACTGCATTGATAAAGAAATTTTCGTTGCAAATAAGGATTTATAATTGCGCTTGTTGGAGGTCGATCAGGCCCAAGCCCAAAGTTGAAGTCAACCGCATCGCCGAGGTCGGGAAAAGCCTGGGGTATTAGTACAACGACGCGGTTAGCATGCGGCCAAGCCCGTACATGTAGATATGGGGGTGACAATAAATGTATATTTAAAATATAATCTTAAACATGGACATCATGAATGAATTTTCTTTTTTAAAAACTAAAAATAATAATTTTGAAAGGGTGTAGGTGGCATACGGACGCATCGCTGTAGCGGTAAGGTGTACCTTCAAATTTTATCATGGTATATAATTTTGATGTAAAATGTTTTTAAGATTATCTCAAAATCTATTTTTATATCTAATTATAAAATTTTAAATTTAAAAAATAGTTTAAATCAAATAGATTTATAAACATATGCAAATCTATAAACATTATAAACATATGAAAATCTTGAAAATGGATGGTGTAGATAATATATTGTAAAATGCACTATTTCTGAGACTTAAAATCTTTTTATTGGTCATACATCTTGATGTCGATATGAACAATAAAATGGCTTTTCAACATTAAAACTACCTTTTCCGATGGATTTTTAAGGTGCATCCATAGTTCTATATTATACAGTTGCATCCTTACATAAACTTTTTTCATTTTAAAAACTAGAAGTAATAATTATATTAAAAAAATATTTGGACCGTTAGTTACAGTTGTTTTTAGATGGACCATCTATTTGCATTCATTTTTAAGATGGATGCTTTGTACCTCTGGACCACATATTGTAAAAATGTAGTCCAGCCCCATGAAACAATTGTTCATTAAAGTTTTGATTAGTAAACAATGTTTTAAAATTCACATTATGTCAATGAAGCTTATTAGAAAAAAAAGAAAACAATTTTTTAAAATTCAGTGCGAGTGGTTAGATCAATCACCTGCTGGATCGGTTCATATGATCAATCAGACCAATTCTCTAGTATGTGAATCGCAAAAATATTTGAATAATTGTTCTTTAAAATTTTGAAAAATAGAAATTAATGAAAATATTTGAATAATTGCTTCCCACCATATCTAAGGTGGGAAATAGCAAAAACATGGGTAAATATAGTGTGAAGCAAGACCACTAAATTTGGTGATCCTGGTCACAAATTTTTACATCAAAACTTACTCCTGGGTACGCTTTGGGTCCTGGGGAGTACGTATACAATGTGCATATATGGGAACATGCCACAATCATCTTTTTCTTATTTAAGTTTTAATGGCCAACGAATCCGGCAGCCAGTGGACCTAATTGTGGGACATTGCCTCCACAAGGTACCAAAAAATAAGTCTTTCTTTCTTGAGAAAACCCTTTGAGCAACTTTTATCCCTCGTCTTTTATCCCAAAGCGCCCGAACATCTATTTTTAAGCAACTTTTACGGTGCCTGACCACCCTTATTTTATATGACACTGCATACTTTTTAGAAGCACAAAGTGTCAGACTACCCTTATTTTATATGACATTGCATACTTTTTAGAAGCCCAAAGGGTCATACTGCCACCATTTTTGAGTCGGACCGCATGCCCAAAGTACTGCACCGCCCTTAATTTGTATCGGACTGCATCCTTTTCAGAAACAAAGTGCCGGACCGCCCCCATTTTGTGTTGAACCACATACTTTCCAAAGGGGTTTTTTTTATATTTATTTTACTTTTTTTTTTACTTAGGAGTATTTGCTAAACAAAGTTAAACTTAAGATAAAAATTGCTAAAAAAAATCGATTTGGGGAAAATTGTCTAGAAATTATGATTTGGGGGGTTTTGGTAATTTGTCACTCTTGTCTCTCTTCTTCTCCCACCACCACAGATGTTATAATTGTGAAATTGCCCCTATAAATTACCAAAATAGCCTTTCTTAAGTCTATTGTCCCTCTCTACTAAATAATATTACTATTTAATTATTGCACATTCAAAATAAAGGTCAACCCGTCAGGCTGCTGTCTTTTTATTTTTTATTTTTTGAAGGTCTCTATAAGGTGTCAATTTTAATTATTTAATATTTAGCCATTATGAGATTTTTAAATTAAATAAAAATAAATAAAAAATTAAATAGTTTATTCTTAAATTTATTTTGGTAAGTTCTTTTAATAATATTATTAAAAATAATAACAAATCAATAAGGGCTATGCACAGCACAAACTCAATACAACATCTATTAAGATGGGCAAATTGGTTCAAATGGAGGGCTAAAAAAGAGCAAGGGTTAAGTCCAAAAAGATATAGTTGGAAGTAGTGAGAAAAAATATAAGATTTATGATGTCACTACGAAATGGTTCTTGATGGAGTAAAATGACATATCAGGATTTGTATAACCAGCCTCAAATAGTTAAGAAAAAGTTCCGATGATGCTGGTGATGGTGATGAACCTTAATAAAAAAAATGGCTGACACAAATAATTGAACAAAAAATTAAAAATAAAAAATAAAAAAATACCTGGCGATCTTGGTCAGATACAATGCCATTCCTCAACATGATGGCAGTAACATAAATACAAAGGCTAATCTTCTTCATTCCAAACACGTGGGTGGCGTGGGTTATGCTCAAACCACCAGCGCTGTGCCCAACCAATATTACCTTCAACACCCAAGTAAGAGGATCAATTCAAGGAGAGAGAGAGGGGTTTGTTTGATAACGGAGAAACCAGAAACAAATTAAATTGAGAGATAGGCATAAGTTTGATAACGGAGAAAACAGGGAAAGTCTCTCAATTTTCCTTGTACTATAGTTTTCACCCATTTGAGAATAGTAAAATTGGAGAAAATTAAAACTTATTTTTTTCTCGATTCCACAATTTTAGAAAAGTGGCAGCCCTGTGCTGCCACTTTGGGAGAAAATTACAAAGCATCAACGAAGCCCTAGCGCTTTTGTTGGGTGGTTTCTCGACCCCTTTATTTAATAAATCATTCATTTGACTTCCTCCAATAATTATTAGGTGGCTTGACATTTTAAAAATATTGTATGATAAGTTTTTGGGGGAAGGAGAGCGAGTACCCCAATTTCTCAAAGAATTCTAATCCAGTATTATCCCTAGAGAGAGAGGGCATGATCATTTGGAGAGAGAGAAATCATGGTCATGTGTGGCCTAGGTGCAATAGTGATAAAAAGATTGGGCAATGGCGTGTGAGATTAGTGCAAGATTAGGGCAACAAGTAATAAAAATTTCATAGATATGAGATCAAATTTTTATCTCAAGTTCTCAATCATACATTGAAAGAAATAAAATAGATGGATTGTAGCATGAAAATCCTATTTAAAATATATATTTACGCATCATATCAATGAAATACATAATGAATGGTTAAAATAAGTAATTTTTTGCTTTCCTAACACCAAACTGGTGAAAATAACAGCATCATAATTTATCAAACAGGGTTTTAATTTCCAAAAAAATTAGCCGATTTCACTTTTCTTCCATAATCCAAAAAAGCCGGCAGCAAGAGAATCCTATAGAAAGTTATCAAATGCACCCTAAGATCATCACTGAAGCAAGTAAATAAAAATAAACAAATTCAATGCAACCGAGAAAATTAAAAAATGAAATGGCCTCAAAAGGATGCTTTGGCCCAAAAGGAACACTAAGGAAGCTCACACAAAATTAACAGCTTCTCTCTCTCATATGCACACAAACTTAACCGCTTCTCTCTCTCTCATATGCACACAAAATTAACAGCTTCTCTCTCTCATATGCACACAAACTTAACGGCTTTTCTCTCTCTCTCAAACACATACAAACTTAACAGAGATTCTCAGACAAACACAAATCCACACAAAACTGACTCTCTCTCTCCAACACACATATACAGACTTAACAGATTCTCTTTCTCAGACAAACACAAATCCACACAAAACTGACTCTCTCTCTAACACAGACAATCTCTCTCTCTCTCTCTCTCTCACATACACACACTCACTCATTCCGGCGGACATACCTTTTCATCTTCAGGGATTGTAGAGAGGAGATCCATGAGGGGCTTGTTGTACTCTTCAAATGAAAGAATGGAATCAGCATTTCCAGGATGTAATCCAGAACCGCAGAGATCGACTGCCGTGACCTTGAAGCCTGAATCTTTTAGAAGTGAGGCTGTTTTATACCAACACCAAGCGCCATGGCATGTCCCATGAACTAGAACAAAGTGTTGAGTCGCCGGAACTTCACCCATGAGATTTTCCGGCAATAAATCCTCGCCACTCTAGAAAACAAATGAATGAGTTGAATGGAGAGAGAGAGAGAGAGAGAGAGAGAGAGAGAGAGAGAGAGGTGCCTCTTAACAAAGTTGAGATTGTATTTTTATAGGCGCTGCGGAGTGAGGAAGTCAGGTACTAAAGACTAAAAGTGCTCTGAAGAAAAATGTGCAATACGGTACATATTTGGTCAATTTATATGAGTGTATGCAAACTAGGCCGTGTCAGATCCATAGTTATCAATAAATCGGCTCATCATAAAATTGGAAACTAATTGTTTTTATTTTAAAAAGTCAAATAAAAAAATCATGTATGGATTGGTAATAATACTTCATGTAGAGAGATCGTGAATAAATCAGACTAGGCTCCAAAATCGAAATCGAAGTAAAAAAATTGAATATATTTAAAATATTATAAATTTTAAAACTCTAAATATATATATCACTCAGTATAGAAAAAATTAATAGTAGTGAGGAGTAATGCTTTCACTCTATATATATCACTCAGTATAAAATGACCTCCCTATAAATATAAATTTCAAATATTCAATGTGATATATCTCTAAATCATAAGATGATTATCTATTCTATTCGTCAAGATAAGTATTGGGTAGGTGAATTCAATTTTCATCTTCTATAAAGAAATTGTCTACCCCATACTTGCTAACTATGATCTACCCATAACCACCCGAAAAAATACGCACCATATCCATAGCAAAGAACCAGAGAAAGTTTAGGGAGAATACAAATAAAAATAAAAATAGAAATTTCATAAAACAAGAAAGAGATATTGAACTTTCCAAAAAAACAAATCAAAGTATATTAATAGGATAGAGTTTTTGAAACAATTTTTTCAAATTTTGAAAAAGTTGTGTTTTAAACTTTTTCCTGAAAGATCATGTACTTGTACCGATCTATTGAAAAAGTCGCAGATTAAATCGTTTTTAAAAAAAAGCGCTGCTTTTTTTTGAAAAAGTCGCTATTAAATTGGTGACTTGCTAACTATGGTCAGATCAGACTCGGCCCAGTTACCCAGGCTCAGGCAATGCCGAATCCGAGTTGTCCTGAGTTGGGGGTTCAACTCGAGGTTACCAAAAAAAATTTTAAAAATAAAAAATCCCCCAAAAAATAAGGAATATATTTATAATATATATTTTTATATTTTTTATCATTTTTGACAAAGATGAGAATGCATTTTGACCATGAATACTTATTTTTCATTGTTCCCTTTTTTTTTGGAGAATTTTGAAAATACCCACAGTCTCAAATTGATTTCAAATTTCATTTTTTTCACTATTTTTCCTACTACATTTAGATGTATTTTGTTTAATTTGATTTGAAATACATTTTCCCTATTTTTTTAGATGGTAGCAGATACACTTGCCAAGAAGGCAACATCTTTATGATTTAGCACAACTGCCCTACTATAGGGTTGTAAAGATATGTTTTGTATTTCCTCCATTTCTTATTAGTGAATACAGGTATGGCGCCTCTTCCCCTACTGAATTATCCAATATATATAAATATATATATATACTTTTGAATATTAGAAAATTAAAAAAAATAAATTTAATGTGCAGTTTGATATTTAAAACAGCGTACTGGAGACAAACTTGAAAAAAAAGTAAAAAAATAAAGGGACAGGACCTCTATAAAAAATATGTAATATTTTTTAACCATAGTATAATAACGGTCAAATAAAAGGGCATCGACGTAATTTTCCCAAGTTAGAATTATGTGAAGACTTTGTAGCATGAAATTTTAAATTCCTGGTATTCGGTGACACAGACCAAAGCCAAAAAATATTTAACTCCCTCTTTCCAGCGTCTCTCTCCCTCTCTCTCTCTCTCTACTAATCAACTAAAGTAATTCGACCAAACCAAACCTAAACAATACTAATTTTACGCCCTACGAAACTAAAAACCAAAAAAAAAAAAAACCGACCCTATTAAGAACGACAACGTCCA